ACTTTGAGTATTAAAAATATTAAAAATATAAAAATTGTTTAAAATGTGTTCGCTGAATATGTTGACGCAGTGTTTGTTTGTTTGTTTCATTTTAACTGTCTACAAAAGAACAGAAACGTCTTAAGCTTCTTTTATTGCCAATCGTCTTCAAATATTTATGCTCAGACATACTGAATGGCCGATATTATCACATCTACTCTAGTAAGAGCTTAAGTGGAAAGTTTCAACTTGTCCAAATTGTCCTGTCTACGAAATGATATTAATTGATTAGAATTTTATGCACATCTTTTTCAAACTCCTGTAAACCGCTTTTCAACACTACCTTAATAATACATTCTTCACTCTCAGGTGTGACTTATCACCATCGCCTTTTAACGACCCCATAATCCCTTGTGGGATGGAGTCTGGGCAACCGAATGGAGCGCTAGCAGAGTGTTTTAATGGCCAGATGCCTTTCCTGTCGCCAATGCGGAGTTTTGTTCAGCAGATATATTCTCAGTGTGCCCAGAGAGAGAAATATCTGCCTCTACCTAGGATTGAACTCATAGCCTCCTGATTGTGAGGCAAGAGCTTCACCTCTAGGCCACCGTACCACTCCCAGATGTGACTGTATGCTGCCATGATAAAAATATAAGGGGTAAATTTCTGTATAATGCCATAGTATCTGACTGCTGACACTCAAATGAGCCTTTAATTCATTCAACTGAGCATTTAATTTAATGTAAGCCTTGGTTGGGTTAATTAGTAACACGAAAAAGGTTAAAGTCACAAGAATTCCAGCATTGATTTATTTCACAGATGTATATGGCTGCCCATCCCAAACAGATGACTCTGGGCAACTAACAATATTTCCAAATGGGATTCCTATATACAGGTAGTCCTCGACTTACAACAGTTCATTTAGTGACCGCTCAAAGTTAACAACGGCACTGCAAAAAGTGACTTACGACCGTTTTTCCACACTTATGACCGCTGCAGCATCCCCATGGTCACGTGATCAAAATGCAGGCACTTGGCTATCGATTCATATTTACGACGGTTGCAGTGCCCCAGGGTCATGTGATCACTATTGGACAAGCCAAGCCAACGGGGAAGCCCGTTTCACTTAACAACCACGTGACTAAGTTAACCACTGGGGTGATTCACTTAACAACCGTGCCAAGAAAGGTCGTAAAATGGGGCAAAATTCACTTGACAAATGTCTCACTTAACGACATAAATTTTGGGCTCAATTGTGGTCGTAGGTATAGGCAAGAAAGCACAGGTAGTATGCCACTTTTTCAGTGTTGTTGTAACTTTGAATGGTCACTAAATGAATTGTTGTAAGTCAAGGACTACCTGTAGTTCTTTTAAAAGGGGGAGGGGGGCTTGCTTATTTTGTGAAAGGTGCACAGTCTGCCTTTGTTGATTGTTTGGGAATGGCTACTACATATCTTATGAGTCTGAAAACCAGATTTTATATATAGCATGGCTGCTTGAGATTGGTGACACTCAATTCAGCACAAATGCTTTTATTATTTTATTTTATTTTATTTATTATTTTATTTTATTTTATTTTATTTTATTATTTATTTTATTTTATTTCATTTCATTTCATTATTTCATTTCATTTCATTATTTTATTATTTTATTTTATTTTATTTTATTTTATTTTATTTTATTTTATTATTTTATTTTATTTTATTTTATTTTATTATTATTTTATTTTATTTTATTTCATTATTTCATTTCATTTCATTTCATTTCATTTCATCATTTCATTTCATTTCATTTCATTTCATTTCATTTCATTTTATTTTATTTATTCATTCTGTTTGTCGCTTATCTGCTCAGAAGCGACTCTGGCCAGCATACAGCTTTAAAAGCAATAAAACCATTAAAAAATAAGCATTTCTAAAAACGATGCAAATAGAGTTAAAATCCAGGTGACGTTGCAATTAACAGATGTGGGGAGAGGGAGGTAGCAGGATGTAGGATTTTCTCTTAAAATTCACCTTTTCATTGTTCCTATCACCCATCTCCTCCCACTTATGACTGTATGACTGTAACCTTGTTGCTGGCATCCTTACGATTTATAACGACTGTTTCCTAATATGATTCGATTGCTTATTTGTACCCTATGACTATCATTAAGTGTTGTGTCTTATGATTCTTGATGAACGTATCTTTTCTTTTATGTACACTGAGAGCATATGCACCAAAGACAAATTCCTTGTGTGTCCAATCACACTTGACCAATAAAGAATTCTATTCTATTCAATTCTATCAACCACATCCAGTGTGATACTCCCCCATTGAGGACCCAAGCCAACTGGCAGAGTCAGGTCAAATACTTAGCATATATCCATATTTGAGCATGTGCAGTAAAATTTAATCACACCAAACCTGAGCTTTTCTCATGTAAGCCAAAGGTTCCTTGATGTGTTCAGGAGGCACTGATGGAGAACAAGGTAAAGGAAACCTAAAAGGAAAAAAAAATAGGTATGATTTTAGTGCCAGTACTATTTAAACCCACTTTTCTAAATAAATCTTTAGAAATCATAATTTTCTTAGAGATACTAAATTTTCAGGCATAATATACAGCACTAGCACTTATATACCGCTTTACAGTGCTTTATAAGCAGTTTACAATCAGCCTATTGCCGCCAACAATTTGGTTCTTCATCTTACCGACCTCAGAAGGATGAAAGGCTGAGTCAACCTTGAGCCGGTTAAGAATCGAACTGCTGGCAGTTGGCAGAATTAGCCTGCAATACTCATTCTAGCCACTGCGCCACCACGGCTCTCAATACATGGGGTTATGGTCAATCTATGGCCTTGTGAAATATTGCTGGAGGCACTTATGTTTCACCTGGTGGCAATAAGGCAGGATAAAATTGAAGAGAAATATTGAGGACTGATAATCGCTTCGAAGACTTAACATCGGATAATTCATTCTTTGTTCCCTGCTAACTTCCCACAAGCAAGGCCAAAGGGGAAGGCTGCAAGAAGTCAGAAATCACAGCCATATTAAGTCCTCGCTTAATGACCCAAATGAACCTGTTAGGAGGTACTAATAGGTTCAACCCAGAATGAGTTGCATTAGAAACAAATGCCATACAGGTAGTCCTTGATATACGACCAGTTGGTTAATGATCATTCAAAGTTACAATGGCACTGACAAAAGTAACTTATGGTCAGTTTTCACACTTATGACCATTGCAGCATCCCCATGGTCACATGATCAAGATTTGGACTCTTGGCAACTGGCATGCACTTATGACAGTTGCACTGTCCTGGGTCATGTGATTGCCATCTGTAACCTTCCCAGCTGGCTTCCGACAAACAAAATCAATGGGGAAGCCATTGATTCATTTAACAACTGCATGATTCATTTAGCAACTGCAGTGATTTGCTTAACAACCGTGGCATAAAAGGTCATAAAGTGGGGCACAGCTCACTTAAACAATGGGAATTTGGGGCTCAACTGCGGTTGTTAAGTCGAGGACTACATGTACACATTAAGTCAGGGTTTCCCGAGCTGTGAAATAGTATTTCTCACTTGGAGAATGATCTGTCCCCGTCCACACACACACACAAACACAGCCAGCCGAGGGTTAAGAAAGTTCTTGGCACGCACACAGGTCGTTATCTCAAACTTGGCAGCAATATAATCACCGTCTGCCAAGAGCTTTTACTGCAACAGATAACATAAAATTACATACGCATTGCAAATAGTCCAGCAAAACAAAATCCCTTTCGGCAGCTTCAGACGTTGTTCAAGTGACTAGCCAAAGTTCGTTTTTGTTCGTCACGGAGTTTTACCAGCCACCACCCTCTCTTATATAGTCTCTGGGGTGTGGTCCAGTGACTCAGTTCTAATCCCTAGCACGCCTCCTTAACTGCTGCAACCATTTATCACGCCTTCGTTGGCGTGCATCCAGGAACGACGGCTCTCCTTCCTCGCTCTCATCAGAGACACCTGGCTCCTGGCTAATCTCCTCTCCCTCAGCCGGCACCTGAGACAGTGCCAGAGGGGAGGGGCCTGGAGAGGGAGGCCTGGCTGACTCGTCTTCCTCATGTTCGGAGCTTTCTTCCTCCGATGAGATAGGCTCAGAGGGCGGGGCCACAACAGAGAAGTGCAGACAGAATCCATGGGAGAAGTGGAGAACATTTTAGTTACACTTCGTTCCAATAAATCCATCTGTCCCACAGTTTTACTGAATTGTTTTTTATTGTTTTTTATGAATTGTTTTTTATTGTCTTCATTTTGGTGCTTGGGTTTGTAGGGAAGGTTGCAACAGTAAGATTACACTAAAGGAAATGTGATGGCCACATTGGACCTTTGAGTTAAGCAACACTGCATGCAAACATGAAGCAAAAGTTATACCAACACCGAGACAAAAACAAAACTCACATACTGATTTCTCTATAAACAGCATTGTGCAGCTTCTTTTCCCAACCTGGAAAAATAAGAGTTAAAAAAAAAAAAAAAGAACCTGAAGATTAGAAAAACTCATAATTGGGACGTTTAAAAACTTGAGAATAACGGGATGGGGTAGGAAAGAGAATTGTTTGGTATTAAAAGCACATGAAAGCACAGAACTTAATTCATCCATTCCTAATTGTGTTTAAAACAGGTGTGTCAAAGTCAAGGCCCGCGGAACGGATCCGGCCTGTGGGGTATTTAGATCTGCCCCACGGGGCTGCCATGGAAACAGTGAAGGACTGGCCCGCAGTGCCTTTGCTAGAAAAAACGTAGCTAGGGAGGGCCGCGTGCATTTTTGCTGGCAGAGGGTTGCCGAAGGTCTTTGTAGCCAAAAACGGAACTTGGGAGCCTGTTTTCGCTGGCAGAGCACTTGGGCCACCATAGCAGTAGAGTCCAAGCCAAAATTATTGTTGTTGTTCAGTTGCTAAGTTGCGTCCGACTTGCGCTGGCCCCATGGACCAAAGCACGCCAGGCTCCTTCGTCCTCTACTGTTTCCTGGAATTTGACCGAATCCGTGTGCATTGCGTGATGACAGTGATAAAAGCAAGGAAGAGATTTCAAAAAGGTTGCACAGAAGATTGGCGCAATAACAGCTTGGACCTCATGCTTGTCAGCGGAGAGTAAAGATACATCTTTATAAGCTGCTACAGTTAATGTATTTATTAGTCTGTTGAAAATTAACCTGAAGTAGATGGACCATATCTAATATCCAGCACTTAACTTACTCAAAGCAAAAATCTTAAAATGTAATGAATAAAAAAACACAAACCTGATGTCTTCAGAAATTCCTTAATATCTTCCTTTAGGGATTGTAGCTTAATCTCTGGATTGTGTAAACTGAGCTAACGAAGAAAGATAAACATGACAGAAGTGTCAGCGTTGTTTAAAAATCACAAGAGTCAATATTTAATTAGGAAAAGCCCAAAAATTTAAATTGAAAACCAAAACACTATTTTAAATTTTCTTGGGGTATATCAGGTGCACAAACTAACAAATTATGTTTTATGGATCACTCACTTTTGAAAGTTAGCTTGACAAATGCCAAATTGCTTGTCAGAAGGTCGTGAAAGCACATTGTCAGGTTTCGATGTCATCTCAAATAAATTGCACTCCCAAACAATTAATCTTTGCTGAAATATTCCATTTATTGAGTACGACAGATCTGGCCCCGACTTCGTCGTAGCCGATACTAACCCTCTGACCCCCAAACCCTTCCCTTTCCGTTCCCCAAGTCTCATCTTCTCATTGGCCATCTTCCAAGTCAGTCTCCCCAGCTTCTGACCTCACCCCACAGGAATGTTCCCCCCTCCCATCCCATCTCCTAGGGGATATTATCTACAGAGAAAATAAGTAGGTGAAAAGTCAAGCCTCGTCTTTTTATGGCAGCATCAGAATGCTGACACGCATCACATGACCCAGGGACACTGCAACCGTCATAAATATGAGTCAATTGCCAAGCGTCTGAATTTTGATCCCATGACCATGGGGAGACTGCAACAGTTGTAAGCGTGAAAAACAATCATAAGTCACTTTTTTCAGGGCCGCTGTAACTTTCAAACTGTCACTAAATGAATGGTTGTAAAACGAGGATTATCTGTACAAGGTGTGTGCGCATGTCAGTATTAACGGGCCAAAACAAGTATTCTGACTTTTATCAGAGGAGATTTGTGAAGGAAAAACAGAAGTGGACAAACAACATAGACATTACAAAAAAAAAATCTGGAGTTTCATCTTTCAGGGATGCAATTTCTCAACGTTAATTTCCTCGCTTCTAGAAGTTGGCTAAATTATGACCGAGTAAATTGTATGGATATTGTTACAAATCTACATTAGAAGTTATAAAACATTAACACATCAACTTTGATTTTCTGATGAAATTATGTATCTTATTTCAGATAACAATTCCGGAATAGAAGATAGAAGTGCATGGTGTACTTGGGGGAAATAAACAGCTTGTGGTTCAAATGAGGGAAAAAAAATCTAGTTTTTTAAAGAAAATCCTCAATTGTGATTATTCTCTATAATTTAATATACAAATTGTAGAAATACAATTTATGTCACAACACTAAGAAAATACTTCCTTGCCAGGTACTTCTTTTACATTTTTTTCTTTACACACACATAGACAGACAGACATAGATATGACAGACAGACAGACAGACAGACAGACACTATCTCTATATTTGTATGTATATAAATAAAGTTTGTATGTTTTTAGATCCTTGATGCTTTTTTAATGGTAAATAGTATTTCAATCCTTTTCATACCAAAAAATATACTGCAGCCTAAGTTCCTGTGTGTTTACTCAGAAAGTATTATTCCCATGCTAATTCTAGGATATATCTTATCATAATGCATCTTATAAAAATATGGGCCTACACTAAGAAGCAGAGTTGGCTCAAACAAATCATGATTTGAACAAAACACTTTCTAAGGGAGTCGGTCTTTCCTGTGAAAAAGGAAAGACCCCTTACATCCATCTCTTCTAATTTTGATACCATCCTGAACCTTGCGTCTTATAGATAACCAGCTGGAAATAGTCAAGTAGAAGAAAAAGACAGAAGTACATTATCTTGAGAGTACCAACTATAGGTATCCACAGGGTGGGCTGCTGGGGGTTCGCAAGGGTTCGGGAGAACCTCTAGTTAAGTTCTGTACAGTTTGGAGAACCCCCAAATGCTACAACGGTTTAAATGTGAAAAATGGTCGTAAGTCACTTTTCTCAATGACATCGTAACTTGGAACAGTCACTAAATAAACTCTTGTAAGTTGAGGACTACCTGTACTGCAATGGATAAATTGGGAGGAAATGATATTATTGTTAACATTGACAAACTTATCACTGACAATCTTATGATTTCGAAGAAAGCCTTGACCGAAAGCTCTGGGCAGGAAGACCACAAAAATAATGAATCATATCCTTCCTTCATGCAGGCTAGATAGTTAATTTTTAATGTTAATCACTGCAGGATCTAAACTGTTCCAAGTAAAGCTGCCTTTTGCAATTGACTGATGGTGATTATTGTAATGAATTTGGATGAAGAAAAGTAATTAAGAATGCATTGGGAGGAAATATTATTGCAATGAATTCAGAAGGAACAGATTATGAATACATTAGGAGGCAAAAGATATTTAGCAGTAGTATTTATTATTGCAATGAATTGAGAGGGAACATTATGAATGTTTTAGGATGAAAAAGATTATTATTATTCTCTTTTATTATTATTATTATTAACTTTTATTCATTAAACATGAAACTCAGTCAACTGAACATTAAAAAATGTATCACAAATATCATTGACTGGCTCTGATAGTTGATACGGGTTGCTGCCAGCATCCTAGGTATCAACCAAGTTGTTGTTGCTGTTGTTGCTGTTGTTGTTGTTGTTATTATTTACTTTATTCATTAAACTTGAAACTCAATCAACAACATTCAAAAATGCATCACAAATACCACTGACTGGTGCTAATGGTTGATACGGGTTGCAGCCAGTGTCCTAGGTATCAACCAAGTATATTCTTTATTATCATTATCATTATTATTATTAACTTTTATTCACCAAACATGAAACTCAAGTCAATTGAACATTCAAAAATGCATCACAAATACCATTGACTGGTGCTAATGGTTGATATGGGTTGCTGCCAGCGTCCTAGGTATCAACCAAGTACCTTCTTAAGATGTACCATGTTCCAAGTAGCGCAGTTTTTTGCAGTTCCGCTGGTGTTATTGCAGGAAGCTGCAATTTGCTGATGTATTTTACAGAATTCTTCGACATGGTACCAAGTGCCCGATGACAATGGGTATCACTGTCACACGTTTCATCCATAATCGCATAGTTTTGATGGCCAGGTTGTGATATTTCATGATTTTTTCCAGTTCTTTTTCTTTGACTCTTTACTACTACTACTGCTATTACTATTATTATTACATACTTTGTTCATTAAACATGAAACTCAGTCAATTGCACATTCAAAAATGCATCACAAATACCATCGACTGGTGCTAATGGTTGATACGGGTTGCTGCCAGCGTCCTAGGTTATCAACCAAGTACCTTCTTAAGATGTACAATGTTCCAAGTAGCGCAGTTTTTTGCAGTTCCGCTGGTGTTATTGCAGGAACCTGCAATTTGCTGATGTATCTTATAAAATTCTTGGACATGGTACCAAGTGCCCCAATGACAATGGGTATCACTGTTACATGTTTCATCCGTAGCCGTGTAATAATAATAATAATAATAATAATAATAATAATAATAATAATAACAACAACAACAACAACAACAACAAACAACAACAACAGTATACACAGCAAACAAGATGACCATGCTAGATTTCGTATCCCAAATAGTGATTATTATTGGTTAATCTTTAGTGAGATTCACAGCGTTTGAGGCTGGTTAATAGCTCAGCAGCTCGAGTCCTAACCAAGGACCTAGGAACTGTTAAGGTACCGTCGGAGGATGTAAGCTGTTCTGAGTAAGGTGGTTTTTTGTAGAGTCAAAATGTTCAAGTCCGGTAAATTTAGAATTTCTAAATAGCGGGGTAGCCCTTTGGGTATTGCCCCAAGGGCTCCAATTACAATCGGGACAACACATTATTTCTTTTTCCACAGTCGCTCAACTTCAATTTGCAAGTCCCGGTACTTTGTGATTTTTTCTTGCTGCTTATCTTCAATCCGTGCATCACCAGGTATTGCAATGTCAATGAACCATACTTTTTTCTTTTCAACTATTGTTATGTCAGGTGTGTTGTGGACCAAGTGCCTGTCAGTCTGAATCCTAAAGTCCCACAAGATCTTGAGTTTCTCATTCTCTAAAACTTTCTCAACCTGATGTTCCCAGTGGTTTTTGCTGTACTCAAATCCAAACTTCTGGCACAATTTCCAGTGACTGATCTTAGCAACGTGGTCATGGCGTTGTAGGTAGTCAGTTTGTGAAATTTTGCTGCACCCACTGATCAGGTGGTCGACTGTCTCATCTTTCTCATTGCAGAGGCGGCATTTGCTGTTGGTGGTAACATGTTGAATTTTTGCCTTCATGCAGTTTGTGGCTAGGGCTTGTTCTTGAGCTGCCAAAATAAAGCTTTCTGTTTCTTTTTTCAGTACTCCTGATCTTTACCAGTTCCAAGCTAGTTTCTGATCAGCTTTGCCTTCAATACTTTTCAAGTATTGGCCATGCAGAGCTTTGCTTTTCCAATTTTCAGCTCGCTGCTCAATTACTTCTTTCTTATATTCTGCTTTTGTTTTAGTTGTCTTTAAAAGGCCTCCTTTATTTACTTCCTTAATCATTGGTTCTTCACTTTTCTGGATGTAATCATTCAAGCTGCGTTTTTCTTCTTCCACAGTCTGCTTTACTTGTTATTATTATTAACTTTAATTACTATTATTATTGGTTAATCTTTAGTTGAGATTCACAGCCTTTGAGGCTGGTTAATAGCTCAGCAGCTCAAGTCCTAACCAAGGACGTAGGAACTGTTAAGGTATCGTCGGAGGATGTAAGCTTTTACTATTTTTACTACTTTTACTTATTATTATTATTATTATTATTATTATTATTATTATTATTATTATTGCAATGAATTAACAGGGAACAGATTATGAATGCTTTAAAACGAAAAAAAACGTATTTAGTGTTCTCATTATTACTGCAATGACTTGGGAGGGAATGACACTGCTGCCGTTATCATTATTTTTTGCAAGGCAGCGAGATTTTAGAAAGATGCTGCAATGGCATGCATGCACCGGCAGCAAATAAGGAAAAAATCTCCGTTCGTTATTCTGAAAGAGGGGAGCTGAGGAAGAGCCGCCCGAGCGCAGAGCCGGGCAAGAAGCAAGGAAGGGAGGGAGGGAGGGAGGCGGGGCAGGGCAGGAAAAAGGCTGCGGCGGGGAGGAGGAGGAACCCAAAGCGCGGCTCAAGCCGCCTCACCCGAGCCTGTCGCTCCAGCTGGGCGTGAAGTCCGGAGCCCTTCAGCTTCTCCACGATCTGGGCGATGGTCAGGGAGAGGCCGTCATCCGCGCCGGCTAGCATGGTGCCCTCGGACGAAAGAGGGCTCTTTGTTTTCGGCCGTTGCGGCACGGGGGACCGATTTCAGCGACGCTCCCGCCAGCCCAGCCCAGGCTCAAAACCTCAGCGAGTTGCCTCGGCCGTTGCCTGGCAACGGCGCGGGACGGGTGCAGCGGAGAGGAGTTCCCCAGGAAAAGCCGCCCGGGAAAGCCACGTTCCGCTCGCTTGCAGTGCTCTAATAAGCAAAGCGAAGCGAGGCTGGAATCCCCTTTGGAGAGAGAGAGAGAGAGAGAGAGGGAGAGAGAGAGAGAATGTGTTTTAAATCTGTTGCAATATTTCCAGGATCAGACTCAATAAAGATAATAGAAGTTAAGCTTTAAATATATTTTCTTTTTTAATTTTGATAGGCATTCTATATTCACTGAATATTCAAGGTAGAAGCAGTGAGAATGGTGAGGGTGGCTCCTTATATATACAAGGGGTGGAGCTAGGAATGGGAGTGGTAAGTTATGAATACATTAAAGTCCAAAGAATAAGTTAACCTCTGATGTTCCATATTTACATTATTTACACATTGGAGAATAAGGCATTTACATCTGACAAATCCCCCTCTAAAATGCCGGTTCGTTACACAACACCAATTACATTCTGATTCAGGACAATATAATACATATAATTTAGAAGTTAAATATTTGTGTTGTTTAGAAGGTAAGGGTTTTGTTAATATGTCAGCTAATTGTTCAGAAGTATCGCAATGTATTGCTTTAATGAATCGTCTTGAGACAGTTGTCTCACATGCTTAAACTTTATATCAATATGCCTGGACCTTTGTCCAATTGCATCGGATCTGGATATTTCAATGGCCGCTTTATTGTCTTCATGCATAATAAATGGTAAGGTGGGTTTCTTCCAAACATCAGTGATCAGATCATTGAACCATACAAGGTTATTTGCAGCTTTGGACAAACAAAACATATTCCGCTTCTGTAGTAGAAGTGGCTACTAGTTCTTGTTTACCAGTATACCAGTAAACTGGACAATCATTCAATAGAAAAACATAACCAGAAGTACTCTTTCTGCATGATGTATCACCAGCCCAATCTGCATCAGCATAACAAGTAATTTTTGGTTCTCTGTCATTATTGGGTCCAACATTAAACAAAAATCTAATGTACCCTTCAGATATCTTAGAATTCTTTTGACAGCTTCCCAATGATACAAGGTTGGTTTACTAACATATCTTGACAATAGATTGAGAGGTAATGCAATATCTGGCCTAGTCCAATTAGATATATAAAGGAGTGAACCTATAACTGATCTGTAAAATGTGTTGTCTTTAAACTCAGGGGAAGATTCATCAGTGTTTCTAAGAAAATCAGTTTGCATAGGGGTGTCACAGGTTTTAGCATTATTTAAGTTACATTTGTTTAGGAGTTCGATGATTTTATCTTTCTGTGTAAGTTTGAATCCCCTTTTAGTTTTGTTAATTTGCACACCAAGGTATTTATTCACTTTACCCAGAGATTTCAGTGAGAAGTGTTCATTTAACTTATTTACAAAGATTTCCTGCTCTCTTTATGCTTTCCAATGTATAAAATATCGTCCACGTAAATTAATACAAATTCAATATGATCATTACTCTTTTTTACAAAGAAACAGTTATCAGCAGTGGTGGCGTTGAAATCCATGGTCTTAAGTACTTTTACCAAGCAATCGTACCATCTTTTGCCGGATTGCTTTAATCCGTACAGACTCTTATTTAATAACCAAATTTCGTTCTTATTAGTGTATTGACTGTGTGGTGCTCTTACATATATTTCCTTATCTAATTTTGCATGTAAGTATGCGGTCTGTATGTCATATTGGAATACGTCCAGATTGAGTGCAGATGCTACTACAAGGGCTGTTTTGACACTCTCTGTTCTCACTGTGGGTGAAATATGTATCAGTATAGTCTTCTGGATATTTTTGTGCATAGCCTTGTGCAACTAGTCTAGCCTTGTATAAGGTATTGCCTCCTTCTAAGTTCTTAATTTTATAAATCCACCTGGTACCTATAATTGTTTTATCCTTAGGTGCGATCGCAGGTGTGAATACATTTAATCCTTGTAAACTTTCCATCTCTTTTTCCATAGCTAATTCCCATTTTTCTCTTTCTTCATGTGGAAGTTTCAATACTTCTTCATATGTATTAGGTGTTATTTGTTCTCCATTCATATGCATTATGTAATCTTTGTATTTATTTGGTATTTGGTTTCTATTGTTTCTAATAGTTCTTTCAGGCTTGCTATGGTTATCATGCAAATATCTAGCTTCCTTTTTTGTTAATGTGTCTGTCTTTATTTTATGCTGACTATTAGTCCAAGTTTTGGTTTTGTTCTTACTTTTGTTAATATTTTGATTTTCTGTTGTTCCTTCCTCGCAAGATATCGTATCTTTACATTTATTAGGAAATATTTCATTAAGGTGCAATTTTGACCAATTGGCCTGTTCATGGAACACAGCTGTTCTGGATACTATAAATTTGTTATTACTATCAATAAATCTGTACCCTTTGGTTCCAGTTTCGTATCCATGAATCTTAATCTCCTGGATACGTTTTCTCCCTTTCTCCTCAATTGTTTAGGTATGTGTCGTCTGCAGTGACTCCAAATATGTGCATGTGTGATAATTTGGGTTTTCTATTGTACATCACCTCATATGGTGTCTTATTCACAATACTGGACCAGGTTCTATTTTGAGTGTAATTCGAATAATGTAATGCCTCTGACCAAAATTGTTTGCCTAAACCAGCATCCTCTAATGTGCACCTAATCATGGTTTGTAGTGTGGAATTTTTCCTCTCTGCAACTCCATTTTGAAATGCAGAAAAAGGATTGGACGTGAAATGTAACATTCCTCTATCCTTTAACCATTGGGAGAATTCTTTAGACATGAACTCACATCCCCTATCTGTCATAATTTGCTTTATTCTGATATTATGTTGTGTTTCTATACGTTTGTAGAATTCCTTAAATTTCTGAAATGTTTCATCCTTGTGCTTTAATGTGTAAACAAAACCATATCGGCTGTAGTCATCCACTATTGTTAGGAAGTAACGTTTTCTATAGGTAATTGAGGGACTAATGGACCAACTAAGTCCATATGTACCAAATCAAAAATATTGTTAGTTGATCTGTTAGATTTTTTTGGTCTGGGACTGGTTTTTAGTTTGGTGGACTTACATACTGAGCATTCCAAATAATTTTCACAATTTTTTATTTTGACACCTTCTGCGTGTTCAGTCATTTTTTGTACTACAGGAAAGCTTGCATGTCCTAACTTCCTGTGTAAGATGTGAGCACACTCATCATGAATTGGTTTACCTATTTTTGGTTTCTTTTCCTTGTATGTGTTTTTGTGATCATGAGTTATTCTACACTCATCATTGTCACTGTTACTGACATTTTCATCATCTGCTTCAATACAATCTTCCATATTTGAATCAATGTTATGTAAACATCTTTCTTTAGTTATCAGATAGGGTAGACCTCCTTTTATCATTACAGTACCTACATTTGTTTTGTTCTTTTCTATAGTTGCTTTCCCCTTTGAGAAAACTATATTGATATCAGATTCTCTGCTTAATTTTATGGCACTTAGTATGTTGTGAGGTATTTCTGGGATTAATAATACCCCCTCTATTTTCCCTAGACCAGGCAAGGTCACATTTCCTTTGCCTAGTACTTGAACCTTTTCTTGATTAGCTACCTTTATCACAAACTTATCTTCTATAAATGAAGATAATATACTTTTGTTGTTGGTGGTGTGATTTGTTGCACCAGAATCAATAAGCCAATTGTTATTCTCATCCTGCTGTGTTCTGGTGCTGTCTTGTTTATTTAGCCCATTCAGTGACCCAGATTTCCTCTCTTTTGAATTTTCTCTACCCCCTCTACCTTCTTTGTAATTTGGTGGGCTTCTATATTTGTGTCTATCTGTGGAAGATTGTCTGTAATTATATTTGCTCCTATATTCTGGTCTATGTCTCTCTCTTGAGACTTTGGGGCAGTCTCTTCTACTATGTTCCCTGGATCCACAATTGTAGCATCTAAAGGCCTCATTATGTTTATCTTGAAAGACTACTTTCCTAAAAGGTTTGTGGTCTGTTTGGTTACTGGATCGATTTTTTCTTGAATTGTCTTCTGCTATCAATTTGTTAGATAGACTTTCTATGGATAAATATCCCAAATTAATGGTATCTAAGTGTGACATAAAGCTATCCCATGATGGATCAAGTGAATTGATAATAACACTTTTCATTGTTTGATCTGAAATCACTTCCCCCCTCAATTGTAGCTCAGCTCTTATTTTGTTTAGATTTATCAAATGCTCACTTATAGAAACCCTGGTTTTACTCTAGAGGAAAAGAAATCCTTAGACATTCTTGTGGTTGTAGCTACGCTATCGCTGTGAAATAGATTAAACATGCATTGAATTATTTCTGATACAGTTAGGTTTGGTTTGATGCTATGATACATTGCAGGAGACACGCTAGATATTATTATGAAAAATGCTCTATGATGTAAACAATCTATTTTTAAAGTCCAAGGTCTTCTTGGAGGGCTAGTTATAAAGAATAGTAAATTTTCTTTCATGAAAATAACCTGAAGCTGTTGATACCACTCTTGTAAATTAATGCCATCAATTCTAAGTTTTGGGAAGTCACTGGGTAAGTTACCTACATTATTCTGTCCATTACTTACAACCTGGGGCAGTCCGTGATCTCTCAAGTGCAGGAAATTACAGAACGGCATTGGGATGCTTGCAATGAGTCTGCGCGGTTCTCTGGCCAGTTCAAGTCCTTCTGGGTCGTCTACGTAGTTTCGCACATGCGCGTTGTTCATTTCTTCTTTGGTGGCGTCGTGGAAGGTTCTCTCCCTTTCAGCTCTCTCGATCCGCTCCTCCTCAGATGAGTCGGTCTCTGGCTCGGTTTTTGGGGTTCTGGTGGTGGTGACGGTTCTTTTCTTCTTTTTGTGTGCGTTGGTATTCGATTTTGTCTGTGGTGTAGGGCGAAATCGGCATGGCTCTCTGGGCTCGGGC